GCTTCCTCGGCCTATTTTCCTTTTGCTTATACTCTAAGTGTCTAGTTTTATCTTTTGAATCTCTGATTATTGAAAAATCAGGAGCTTATTGTATGATCAAGAAAGGCCAAAACAGCCCAGTAACTCTGTTTCTCTTCTCCCCTGCTAGGCTATGTCCATCCTTTGGCCGCTACTTTGAAAAACGACAATAAATGTATGGTTGAACGAGACTCAAACGAGAAATCTTAGTACAAAAATAATAAAATTGAACTTTATTTCGCAGGTTACCCTTCAGTTTTTGATCTGGTAACATGTACCAGTTGCTGTACCTTAAACATATACTCTGTCACAACGGGAACTTAGTTGGGCGTTAACTCCGCAAAAGCCCTCAGGGGCAAAGTAGGAATAGATGATTGGACAACCCGAAACTTACTTTAACAAAAGAGATACAACAAAATGTTGGGCAGCGAATGCAACTATAGTATGACTAGAAAAATACCTAAATGAATACACAGCACACATATGAAATACCTCAACTCACGAAACGGTCCCAGTTAACCTTGGATTTTTCTCTCACGGTTTCTGGGACAAATACTGAATCCAACGACACTGGTTCAAGTCGCTCGTTCGAGTATTGCTCCATTTTACTTCTACCACTGGCCCGTGCCGTTTATGTTTATCCTCCGATTACTCCCGTCCATTCAATGAGATATACAACTGACCTGCCAAACAATAGAACCAGCATTTGTGCGTTATTGTTCAAAATGTAATGTGTTTGAAATTACGTATATATTAAGGAGGAAGTAATGGTATGTTTATGTTCACATGAAAAGCATGTGACTGCTTGCAAAACGGCAAGTCATGATTCACTTCGAAACGGACGCCTGATCACTTATTTGATTCTATCACAAGTAGCTGTTGGTATGGTAGCGTGCATCGTCAGAAAAACATCGTCCTCTTGGCACTAACCAATAGGGTTAGAAACAAATAAATAAGAAATCATAAAGTAAGCAATAAATACCTTAAAGATTATTAATCTTGACTAAACACTCTTCAACTACAACCGCCACGAACAATATTCATTTCATGCCGTCCACTACACACTTCGATTCATTGAATGAAGTGATCATTCTGATGGAAGGCTGAATCTGTAGAATGGTCAACCCTTAGTGGTGAAGGTGGTGGTGGTGGTGGTGGGGATCGAAGAAGGAGACTGTGCGAGGTTCAGTTGATGATCTTTACCGCCTGACAACAAATCACTAAACGTTCAGAATCAAAAAGTTCACCGGATTATCTGGAAACTGTCATTATTGATGCCCAAGGCAAGATAATGACAATATTTCAACCAGAGTGATTTTGTCTGTGTGAAAAGTTGCTGAATTAACGTAAAGGTTTTAGGATCAATGTCAAAAGCACCCTAAATAAAGCCTTAACCGAAATTCATAATTTAACAATTAAATTTGCCTTCATCTAATAATTACTCTTAGTTACTAGAATGTTATGCATTTCAAGTTCATTAAACTTTCTTAGCAGGCGAAGCAATGCAAGTGTACGTTTTGCAATAAACTCATCACAAAAACTCGGTTGCTTGTTTCCGTATTTTCCTCTTCCCTGATAGATAAATCGCACTGAAAAACGTCAGTTGCCTGGAAAATCTGGAAATTAGTTGATATTTAGTAGGTGCCTACTAACATATTTGACAGTAGGTATTTTTTCAAATTCAAATTTTTACTATGGGAAAAAAACAAAGACTGCTTATCGAATCCCGTAGGGTGTTTACACTTTGGTTCGCAACACGATTCATAAGAGCACTGTTAGTCCATGAAAGTAAAATAATAATGTAATGTTTTTGACGAGCACAGGAGAATGTATTATGTAGTTGGGTGTTGAAACATAATGCTTGCCAGAGCATCATCAAGCTGACGCTTGAAAGACACTAATGTTGACACACAGATCACGTGAGGTGATAGAGAGTTCCATTTGCTGCACACTCTGACTGCAGATGAATGGCGTCCGCAGTCGAGACGGCTCTTTTGGTATGCCAACTTCAGTGGATGCCCTCTGAGAGGAGCATTGGTTGATAGAACCAAAAGAGATCTAAATGGATGTTTGGGCTGTTGGAAAATCCATTACAGGAAGATCATATCGCCTCTGATTTGACGATATTGAGACAAGTATAGCCCCAAGAGCTGTAATCTTTCGCCATAAGTCTTGGAATGTAGACCGTTGACCATGTTGGTTGCCATTCTCTGTGGATGTTCAAATGCCTTCCGATCTCGTTGCAGCCATGGGTTCCAGGCCTGAATTGAGTACTCGGTGTATGGACGGATATATGTGGCTAACAGACGTGGAAACAAAGCCGGCTCATACGATTTAAAAACACGTTTGAGCTGTCCGACCTGTTTTTACCGCCATGGATGATGCCGTGGAACAGTTTGTGGAGCAACTTAAGTCTGTGCGAATGACTACTCTTAGATCCTTCTTGAATGGAGCATGAGGCAGAGTTTCGTGTCCGAGAGTGTAGGACTAACGACCATTGTGACGTAGTGATAAAACTTTACATTTGGTAATATTGAATTCCATATCATTGGAGACAGACCATCTGTGAGATTCGTCAAGTGCGTTCTGGAGATTATATGAATCTTATGGTTTTGTTATTGTCCTCCATATTTTGGCATCGTCTGCAAACAGCAGTTTGTGGTCCAAGGACGTCTGGAAGATCATTAATGAAGACAAGGAAAAGACGTAGGCCTAGTACAGATCCTTGTGGAACCCCACGGTTGAAATCTATTGGATCAGAATGTGAATCGAAAACACAAACTGACATGGTACGTAGGCGAAGAAACTCCTCGATCCAGCCAAGTACGAGTCCACGGATTCCATAATTATACAGCTTCCGTATCAGTATTTGATGATTTACTCTATCAAGTGCTTTAGAGAATTCTAGGTAAATAACATCTACCCCTTGACCTTGGTCTACAGCATGAGTCCAGACGTCCCAAGCCAAAATCAAGTTAGTTGCACATGAACGATTTTTTCGAAATCCTTGCTGGGCTGGGGATAGTAAGTCATTTTTCTCCAGGTGATCCATTATCGAATCTGCAACAATAGATTCCATGACTCTGGACAACACTGGGAGGAGAGTGACGGGTCGGTAGTTGGCTGGGTCACTACGGCATCTGCCTTTTTAAATTGGTTTTTCCACACCTGAGGAAGCACGGTTTTGGTATAGCTCACTTAAAGGATCGGCTATGTGACTTGCCAGGGTAATGAGGGTTTGTGGATGAATGTTGTCTAAACCCGGTGATGAGTTCTTCTTCAAAGCCATAAGCTTTGCCTTTATCCTTTCGGGAGAAAAGATAACGTTGGTCAGTAATGAGTAAGGAATATGTTCCAGCAAACGGGGAATTACAAACCCAGCGTTACTAGGGGCATTGATCACTTGAGAGTACTGTAGTCTAAGCAATTCTGCAGCCTCCTTGGTTGTCGCTGAAACACGTCCTACTGAGTTTAGTATCGGAATGCCGAGTTTGACTTTCCGGGAACCGTTCACGTGCTTATATAGTAGCTTAGGGTTTGCGATAAACTTCCTCGCCAGCGTATCATGATACTTGTGCTTGTCTTCCTGTAAGCTTCCCAAACGCTGGGGCATGGACAGCGTTTGAACTCCCTCCAATTAAAGTCTCTTTGCATTATCCATTTCCTAGTTCGACTGCGAATTACTGATTTTCGGACAGTCGGTTGGCATAGACACTTGACGGTTGTAACAGCAGTCACCAATGTTGTGATGCTGTTAGTAAATTTTCTCCAGGATTCCAGGGTATTGCAGTCTGTATCAGGGGAGATCCACTGGATTCCATGAGCCAGGTTGTTTAGCCCCGCATGGTCAATTGTGCTGCGAAAGCGATCCGAAGAAGCTGTTATTATTGATTCGTAGCAAAAGTATTCAAACAACAATACAGCGTGATCACTGCGCCCCAACGGAGTTGCGATTGCAATTGATTCGACCATCAATTCTTTATTTGTCAGTACTAGATCCAAAGTTGACGAAATTTGGTTTGTTCCAAACCTGGTGGGTTCCTTCACATGATTGTACAACGGATGTGACTGGATGAACTACTTCAACTGTCGTTCAAATGGCGTACACAATGTAGTCACATTGCTCAGCTTTGGACAGTTGAAGTCACCCATAACAAGAACGTGGGTGAAATTCGATGACGGGAAGTAAGACTTTGTTTGTAATGAAGTCTCATTTGATGAATCTGCTGACGAAGGAGGGCGATAAACTACACCGATCAGCCCGATATCATGTTGTGTTAGCTTCAGTTTACACCATAACGTATCTGAAGCAGCAAACGGGCACTCAATTTGTTCACATTGCAAGATGTTATGATAGTAGAGCAACATGCCCCCACCTCGCGTTGGACGATCACGCCTCAATAGCTCCATTTCCAGTTATCGCAGCTCGGAGTCCAAAATGTCAGTCGTCAACCAGGTTTCGGTTACCGCAATGAGATCCCATCGACCGGTCCGACAGCGTAGTTCCACTTCTGGGAACTTACTGAAAAAACCCTGAGCATTGGTATAGAAACAGTTCAGTCGTTTTCGGTGCAGAAATCCCTTGGAGTTTAGGGACGTAATTTGGCCGACCTCGTCGTCGGCCGGTAGACGTTTTTTGCCGTGGGTGTTTGTTGGGTTTGGTCTGATGGAGTCGGAGTAGAGCGCAAAGTTTGCAGCGTTTCACGCGCAATGTGATTGACATTTTCGACTGGGGGACAATTTTTCGGTCCTGAATTCAGTATCGGTCTTACGCTTAGTTCTTTGGGCTCTCTAGTTCTGTTTTCATACCATGATTGGAGAACTGTGTTGACCATTTCCGGTGTACCAAGGGTTACCTTCAGTATTTGCGGACCATCTCCGCGATAGTTGGGAGAACGCGGAAGGCGTTTAATGGCCGTGGTAGAGACATTGCGGCAGTCTTACAATTCTTGAATGGAGCGCCATTCGTGAAAATCATTTTTTCAACAGTTGGATTCATCGGCTTCGGGGATCTGTGGCACTCCGTGTGTGAGAATCGCCCGCGAGTTGTCTGCATCGCGTGCACTGTTAGGATCGTTCCGTCGGTGTACACGTTCAGTCCAAGGTATGTCCGGTAAAATTCTGGTATTGCTGGACCCATCTGTAGTGAGAAAACTAGAAAGAAGAACATTTTTAACGTCTTCTTTACTGGCCAGCGTCACACGAAGTAACCTGGGTTCTCCGATATGTGATGATGTTGGTGGGCGCCAGAGACGTGTGAGGCTCACCGGTTTTGCTTCTACACCCATTGAGGTACATACCTCTGTCAAGCGACTCAGCTCGTCCTGTTGCCTCTCCCTCAACAATCGTCTTGTGGATTCTGGGAGATTTGTGCAAATTACCACGAGTACAATGTTGCCACCTAATCTCTTGTTCATTAGTGACGGTATAGTAGCTTGCGACTGACGTTTAGGTGGTGGTACTCTGACTACAAGTATCGAACCTTCGACCGTTGTTTTCCTCGTTGCTATTGGAGAGGAAGTGATGCGCGCTACCTCTTGATTTGTTTTGTTAAAGACACTTCTCGGACGTTTTGACAGTCTTGGGTTTGGACTTTTTGGAGTGATCCCAGAAATGAGAGTCTTTATCTTCTCTTCGAGAGGAGTAATTTGTACTTTTCCCTGTCCCCGACGGCTGCTAATAGTTTTTCAAATCTGTGTGATATCCGTTATGCATTTGATAATGGGCAGTTTGGAGCATTCCCCACAGAACCAGAAATAGTCTGTTTGTGAGACTAATAGTTTTACCCGTTTTGCCGAGAGGTTAGCACCCGAGGGATGAAAGGATCGTATGCAGTTTGCGCATGAGATGCCGGTCTTGATTTCCTTAACACACTTCAATTCACCGTATACTCCTGGTCCTGTTGTGACCTCTGGAGCGGCGCTAGTTGACATACTTCGACGACCCATTTCGGATTGATTGTGAAGGGCGAAGTTGGCTGCAGTTGACAAAGGTCAAGTGCAATGAAAAGTGCACATCCGGGCCGATCACACGTATGTGTTGATAATTCTCACTGACGCGTAGAGCAAAGATACAGGTTAGCTTGCGAATATCGATCGACTGAACTGGTCGTAATGAGGTGGACGAATGTGTGAGTGATGGTGCGAATGGTAATGGTGAATGGCGAATAGTAATACATAAACACAGAATTCACACTCCGCCGAATTTCAATTTCCGAATTTCCCATCACATATTGGTGTTGATGGCTCTTAAAACATGAATGAGAGTTAGAAGTACTTGGAGGTATCTTTGAGTAAACCCATACTGCGGTTCACCAGTGGTGGTAGCTCACATCATGATGGTGCTCATCAAACCAATTGGTCGAGTATAGAAATACATTCATTTGCTTCCTATGTTCTATACACGACGAATTCCCGCTATGAAAAATACATTGAAATGTGGATAAAAAATTAACTCTCAAGGACTGAGACTCACAGCGAACGAAATCCGGCTAAAATCAGTGTTTGTGGAATCATATCTGCTATATAGGATCGTCTCTAACATAACCGTGCTCTCGTTCGACCGTGTATATCGGATCGACTGTATTATGCATGTGAACAGCTGGAGCGGAATTATGCTAACTACGTCGTGTGGACTGATATTCAAATCTCGAATAGACCGGTGATTTTTCCTTGTAGATCAGTAGTCCCAAAAAGAACAAAACTCTGGCCTTGGCGAATGTAGCGGAGGATGAGGTGTGGGGAACATTCATTCACAATCGAAAACAAAACCCACATGGATCAATGGGAGCCGCAATATTCGTACGCTTCTAAGACAACATGCAGTTTATTATTCAAAACAATTCACATCGAAACAAACCAATAAAAGAGCACCTCCTTTACCCCTCTTTTTCTGAACGGATTTATTGTTCCATCAGAAAAACTGATGTCTGAATTTGAACCCATCTATTTGTTCCGTGTTTCAAAATCTATTCCGGCAGTGTCAGAAACTGAAATCATTCACTTAAAATTTAGATAACTTAGACCATATAAATGAGTTATGGTGTAAATACTTGATAACTCTATCAGTCATTATTCAACACTAAAACAAACAGAAAATAACAGTGTTTACATTTTGTGCATGATTATAACACCTTTTGAGCTTCACGCAATTTTCTCAGTGTAGAACACCCATGTGAGCATGACAAATGTTTTTTAATTGGTTTTCTCTCGCAATTGATCTTACAATTCGATCAATTTTTCCTCGGGCATCAATATGAAATTTCAAAGGGGCAGAGATGATTTCATTTATAAATTTATGGCGATGAGTGAACGTAAACGAATTGTTCGGCAGGCGTGCGATGAGGAAACTATTTTGTCCTCAGGGAAGTTCATCAGCATTCGGTTGATTTTGTTGTAACCCAACACAAATATACAGTCGAGTTCAAAGCGGAAACACACATATGAGATAAATAGCCCATACCATCAGCAACGAGCCAAAATAACTGAACATACTGAATTCAGTTTAGCCTATGAGATTTCATAAACATCAGACGTAAGCAATGAAACTGTTTGACAAATAAACAAGTTTATACAACACTTACACGCGTACATTCATCACGCGCGCCCTTTGACTGGCTGCGCTACAATCTCGTGTTATCACATCTCATCAAATTTGAAGGATGTTTTGTTATTATTATGGCATTTGTTCGTCGATATACCAGATCGGAATTACTTCTACTCAAACACTAATG